GCCGTCATCTGAATGGTATTTTTGGTACCCAAAAATCACGAGTGAGAAAAATTACGATATTATACTATTTCTTAAAGATAATATTTTTCCTCTAAAAAAACCTGCAGCAATGTTATAACCTAGAAGTTGCCGTTGCCGAATTTACCGTCTTTGATCTTCAGTGATTCCTCTTTGTTATATAGTAGAATCACATAGCACATGAAATACAGCGTAGTGACGAATGAATGCGCTTCTGTAGGTCAGTCAGTTCAGTGGATAGGGTTAAGCTGTCGCCTTTTGGCTATAGAACTCTGAAATCTATAACACCGCTTCCATAATTACACTTATGATAATGGCATAAGTGATTAAGAGAGGTATGGCATAGTGAATTACCCGCTTGGATTGGAGCTCCCGCCTAGGGAAATAACTCCCACCTTACAGAAGATCACAGTAAAATATTACTACCTTATAGTGTGTGTTGTGTTTACAGGAAGGTTGACGCGGAAGAATCCCTAAACGAGGATCCCGCGGCTTCGCGCTAAGCAGTTTGGAGGGTTTTCGCAGGGTTTTTTAGCGGATATTATGCCGTAAAGTGCCCGTAAGGTGGGTAGCCACTGCTAGGATGGGACTCGTAAGGCTTGCGGGAGCCAGGTGTGAGGTCCGTTCGGATGTGTGCCTCTTAAAGGCTCCGTCGTCTGTAAATACTCGTAGTATTTTATGCCTGCGTAAAAAAAGGGCTCCACAGGAAGGAGTTTGCGTCGTGGTAGGCAACGGCGCATGTGATATTCTTGCCATCAGGCCGTATGCTTGTTTACCGCCCTATTTAACATAAAAAAAAACCTAAGATCAAACATGAGGAGCCGGCGAACAAAACGGTATAATTACGCATCTAGTCAAACTACTATATTTTTTACAGTCCGGAGGTTTCGGGCCCGTTGAATTTGAATCTCAAATAATTTCCAATCAAAACTGCCTAAAACAGAATTACTTAAATTACTAAAGGACATGGTAAAATTTTGTATGTGCGACTGCCCTAGCAATGTATAAATATTGTAATTAGTAATATTCAATGCTGAATGTTTATAATATATAGATATTATATATAGAAAAAAGTCTCAGGAACTTTTGATAAAGTCACAATCTTGAAAATTATGAGAACTCCTACTATGTCATATCACAGTGTTACCTTGCTGTATTTGATAAAAGATGTTGCCAATTATTTACAGAGTCATAAATTGCGCATTTTCTTAGGATCCATCCTCCCATTTCTCTGATTAACACTTTACAAAAAGTGTTTTAATGCAAAAATAAATACAAATATTTTTTTGTTATACATAAACATACACAAATGTTTTTGTCTACATTGTTTTATTTTTGTAAAATGGAACATTTTCCTTTTGAAACAGACGTGAAGTCAATTTACATATTATATTAAATAAATATTTGATTATTTCACGAAAGTTGTATGAGAATAATAAACATGTGATAATTAATAAAAAAATATTATAATGTTACGGGCTGGTGCTAAATAATTATACACGTTAAGGGCAGTATCTTAGCCATGTCCTTTATAAATTAAAAACCATGCCAAAAGTCCACTGATAGTATGCCATTCAGTTTTATACAGCTCCTTTAAAATTTAATTTAATGTTAACCGTTGTGTTGGCCAGCCCCTCACATGTTAATTAGATTAAATTTAAGAAAGGAAGGACCGACACTACTACCACTATTTAGTTATCGTCCCATATAACAGTTTCCTAAAGTCTAGCCGAGTGGGGGGTTTAGTGAGCGGTTGCGGTGACGCAACGACGCCGGCGCAGGGGCACTCGTCGTAGATTGGTCGCTTAGGAAATATTTATCAATATGTGAAGAAAAACATGTTCTCCATTTGAAGCCCATTTTATGCTCGCAAAAATGTGTCATTTTTCTCTAAGTGCCTAATTAAAGTTTATATGAATAAGGAGTTCAGGAAGCCTAATTTGTACATTATTGCATGGACTATAATAAAAGCAACATTAAAGACAAAATAAGTATTATAGAGTCTCCTTGAAAGACAGAGAATTATGGCCAATTGAAAGATGAACCTCAATTTAACGTTCAAACTCAAAACCCTTTAAACTTCTTTGCTCATTGTATTATTTTTTGTAATACACAATTAGAGTTATTGTAAGCGATGAGTTAGTAACGTGTCGTTACTATTTTTGTTTTCGGGAAACGTATTAGTGTGTAAGTTAATAATGTAAATTATGACATCACAAGAGATATATAAATCTTTTAAAGAAACATACCCTTATAACCACAAAAGTTAGACATTCATCCAGCATGAGCTTAAGAAAAAATGTCTTATAAAATTTGTCTAAACAATGTTTATAATCGTGTCTATATTTTTTGTATTAAGACCTTATGTATGTTGCGCCATTTTGGTGCTTTGCCAACCCCCGTAATATCGTGAAAAATATATTTTTACATATTATATACCACTGAAGTTTTAAAGCATAAATTATATTGTACGAACACATACCTTATTAGATATTAAACTATATTATATATATTACCCACAGGGTTAAATTTCAGGAAGATTTTATGCACGGACATACGCACACTTACAAGTCCAAAACTGATATTATTCTTACCAGCTTCACCTCAATGATATCCTATCAGAGAGGATAGGACCAATCCTATCCATTGATAGGCAAAACTGCAACATCTGCTTACAAAGTTCCAAAGTAGTAAGCGGGGAAAAATACGTTTTGTCTTTTTCCAAAAAAATAAATTATTATCATTATTCTATTTATTACATATTAAATAAACAAACACCAATGCGGAACGGGCTCACGTCTCAATGAGTGGCTATGTAGGCGAACGACAGCGCAGAAAGTGGTTGTGACTTGTGACGCAACTGCGCCGCTAACCTAGTCAGCGTGCACTACCAGACGCAACTTACAAGCGATGATGCTGCTTGCGCGCGTCAAAAATGTCAAGGGGTCGCAAGTAATGCTCAAATGAGGATGGGTGACCATTCCAATGTTTAGCCTACCTATCAACACAAATGACAGCGCAGAAAGTGGTTGTGACTTGTGACGCAACTGCGCCGCTAACCTAGTCAGCGTGCACTACCAGACGCAACTGAAAAGCGATGATGCTGCTTGCACGCGAACAAAAATGTCAAGGGGTCGCAAGTGATGCTCAAATGAGGATGGGTGACCATCCCAATGTTTAGTCTGCCTATCTACACAAATGACAGTGCAGAAAGTGGTTGTGACTTGTGATGCAACTGCGCCGCTAACCTAGTCAGCGTGCACTACCAGACGCAACTGAAAAGCGATGATGCTGCTTGCACGCGAACAAAAATGTCAAGGGGTCGCAAGTGATGCTCAAATGAGGATGGGTGACCATTCCAATGTTTAGTCTACCTATCAACACAAATGACAGCGCAGAAAGTGGTTGTGACTTGTGACGCAACTGCGCCGCTAACCAAGTCAGCGTGCACTACCAGACGCAACTGAAAAGCGACGATGTTGCCTGCACGCGAACAAAAATTTCAAGGGTTCGTAGGTGATGGTCAAATGGAGATGGATTGCCGTTACAATTTTTAAGCTTTCTATATAGGCGAACGACAGGCGGCGATGCTGCTTGCAAGCGAACAAAAATTTCAAGGGGTCGCAGGTGTTTGTCAGCTGAGGGTGGATGATCCTTATTTTCTAGCGTGACCTGCTAGCCTCATTGATTTATTGAAAAGAAAATTATTAAGGGGTCGCAGGTGTTTGTCAGCTGAGGCTGGGTGATCCTTATTTTCTAGCATGACCTGCTAGCCTCATTGATTTATTGAAAAGAAAATTAGGAAGATTGTGGGTTGGTATAATCAGGCAGGGATGTGTAGGGTAACGTTCTCTAAAGGTCAGATCTTTAGACAAACACAAATACCGTTTTTTTTTTTCTTTATTTTATAACACGACTCCCTGAAAAAAAAACAGTGTAGTGCTTTCATTTGTGTGCTATTCTTTATTCCACCTTTTAATTGTTTCAACAGATTTAGATGTATTGGTTTTCATTAAAATTTTCACATCATGCCAAAGTACCTACAACCTACATTATAAGTTCAATATGGCAACTTACTGACTAGACTCCTACTTATTTTTAAAAGGTTTCTTTGACCCCTTTTTAAGTATTATGATAGGAAAAGAAAACAAGTGATCATTGAGTGTGAAAGGAAATCAGCTGATTTGAGGGTATATTGGCAATGTCATAGCTTTTAGCCTGTTTAGTTCCATTTTGGTAACATAAACTGAATATTTTTTTTGAAGTGAAAATTTCTTTAGCGCCGTTGTGATTTGAAACTCGATGAAACGAAAATTTAACAGTATTTGACATAAGGTGCTGTAGCACCTGTCCCTTTTTTTTGTTCTATATTTTTTTACAGGCACACCTTAAATAATGTAATATGCGAAAAGATATGCTATGTTTTTATTGTAAACTCAGTATAAATTTAAATCTATAAATTTTGTGCAAATTCAAGTTCCAATCACTTCAATTATTTGTAGGATATTATGCAAAGAAGAAGAAAACATTTCCATTGTGTAGCGAGCTCAAATTACAAATATGAATATTCGCAAGGTACGGCAAAAACCGTGATTCTTGATAATACATATTAGGTAGTATTTAACACGTGCACGTTGACATGAAAAATAATTACAATTGCGGCAGTTAATATGTTTTTTAATATTGTTATGATTATCATTTGTGCTGTGTTATTTATTACACTTTAAAATCACATCTGAAGAATTAATATAGGTAGTTAACATAACTTTTTTTTGTCTGGAAAATGCCTTACGCATCCTTCAACCACTGGGGGAGCTAGAAGAAGATATGTGGGACTCTCCCTGTCCACTTTAGCCAGCCCTAAGGCCAGATGAAGTGTACAGGGCCCTACCTACGCCCTGAACAGGGCCACTAAAAACCAGACCGTGTCACCGGACCCGCATTGCTAGGACCGTAATCCCAGTATTGCGGGTCAGGAGTGCGGGTGGGGTCGCGGTACCCCGTGAAGACTGCCCGCACGAGGTAGTTAACATACCTAGTTAAATAATTTTTTAAAGATTTATGTCCAGGCTTAAAACTAGATACTTCATGTCTACTTATTTATTTAAAGTATAACAATAAATAGAAAATTAAATTACAACAAGTTCATGTCTTATTTTTAGTAATTAAAGGAGCTCGATGGCGCAAGTGGTTAGCGCGTTCGGCTGTGATAGTTAAAGTTAAGCAATTTTCGCAGTAGTCGGTCATTGAATGGGTGACCAAAAATCTTCTATCTCAAGTTCGTCCGTGCTTTGGAAGGCACGTTAAGCCGTTGGTCCCGGCTGCATCTGCAGTCGTTCACACCCGCCAATGCGCACTGGGCCTGCGTGGTGGGTCATGGCCCAATCTCCCTATTCCATCCATAGGGAAGGCCTATGCCCCATCAGTGGGGACATTAATAGGCTGATGATGATGAACTCTATATTTAGTATATAGGAAGCGGCATTAGATAGGTACCATATTACTGTTATGAAAAATGACTAATACCCATCACATAACAAATTACAAGAAAAACTATGTCCATGCATTACGATCATTTAGATAATCATCAACTTTATAATAGCCCTTATTCATAAGAGTATTCTTGATCTGAGATTTAAATTTGGTCAATGGAAGCTCAATCAGATCTTGGGGAAATTTATTAAACAATGCAATACTACAACCCAGAAATGAACCTCTTGATTTTTGGAGTCGGAAACATGGAACGGCAAGCATGTTCTTAAATCTCGTGTTAAAGTTGTGGGTTTGACTTTTTTTGCAAAAGCACCATAGTTTTTTCTGACATGTATTATCTATGTATATATAAAACTCAAAGGTGACTGACTGACTGACATAGTGATCTATCAACGGACAGCCCAAACCACTGGAAGGATCCTGAAATTTGGGATGCAGGAAGATATTATGACGAAGGCATCTGCTAAGAAAGGATTTTGATCAATTCTACCCCAAGGGGATAAAATAGGGAATGAAAGTTTGTATGAAACTTTGTCAATTTTAAACCGATCGGTCTGAGACTTTGCATGCAGGTATAAGAAGAATCATAGATGAATGTCATTGAATATAATACAAGCCTGAGAACAAAAACTATATTCTACGGGACACTAGTGTTTTCATAAATGTATTGCGATACCAGTGAAGTGTACTATATTATTTGTATCTGTTCAATGAATGACAAATGGCACTTGAGTGATATGAACAAAACACGGCGTAACTATTCTAAGTTTATTCTTAGTTTATTAATAGTGGTATAGTGGGCATAAATTTTATCACTTCCCGTGTTTGTTTTCATAGGAAACCACGTGCATCTGAGAACACGTGACGTATTATTTCAAACCGTTTAAATTTTAAAACGTCTGTCAACCAATATTGGTGGAATCGATCGATACTGCACGTAGTACAAGCATGCCGCATCTCTATAATCGCAATCGTCTCTCGGTATCGGATGTGATACGATAAGACTGAGATAGTATGTCACGTGTCTGTAGACAATTTTAGTCTTCGCACACATTGGGGGATTTGGCAATATTATTTTTTTAATATTTGTTTCTTAGGTTTTCACACACATCACTCATTAAATAAAACTAGTTTTAACGGGTTAATGCACGAAACTTTATTTATTTATTGACGTTTCGCAGCCTTTTCAGGCTCGGGTTTGTGATTTTATCTCTTGTATAATGGGTTGGCAACCCATGGTGGTATATACCAACCATCTTCCAATGAAATAACCGAACGCTCAATAAAAGTCTTTCGAAGGTAGCTCGACTAAATTAAATAAAAAATCAGTATTCTGACGAAAACGAAACGTCAATAAATAAATAAAGTTTCGTGTATTAACCCGTTAAAACTAGTTTTATTTATTTTTAAAAACAATTTTGCTACAAAAAATTCCACGTTTACCAGGCAGGAGACGGAATTCGAATCAGCACCCTTCACTATCCGAGTAAATGCACTGACCATTATGCTGTTGGCCTTGTCGAATTCACTCTAGCCTTTCTTAGGCTGCAAGGCAGCGCCCCGAGTCCCGTCTGCTGCCTGATCCGCGTGGAATTTTTTCTAGTAAAATTGTACAGGAAACTTAAATTTTCCGGGATAATAAGTATTCTATGTCTCAATCCAGGTCATAACCTGTGTGCATATCAAATTTCACCCTAATCTGTTATTTAGTAGTAGTTTTGCGTGATTGAGTAACAAACATACAAACCTTTACATTAATTATATTAAGTAGGTTATGCATCGTGTTTGTGCTGCATGAATCTCTTATGCATTCAATAAAATAGAAATTTCGTAAGCCTTCACTAAAATATTTATTTTACAGTTTCAACGGGTTATATAGACTGAATTTATTTATTTATTGACGTTCCGCATTTTCTGCAGGATTGCGTCGTCAGAATAAACGAAACGTCAATAAATAAATAAATTCAGTGCATATAACCCATTGAAACTGTTTTATTTAATGAGTGATGTGCGTAAAAACCTAAGAAACAAATATCTATTTTACATTAATTTATTTTATTAAATATGAACACATGACAAGTGGTTATAATGAGAGGTTGCCCTAAGCATCATAATAGTTATGTTCATTGATTAATGCCTTCCATTTCGGCCAAGTATGACTTGAACGAAGCCAGAAGAATTCCGTACATTAAATCAAATAATTTAAGCATATTATCATCACTCCTGTGGTCGAGTGGTTAGCACACCGCTCATACTAGTGTTCCCAGGATTGATTCCCGGTTGGATAAATTTAAGCAAAGTACTATATTTCTGTATCATCTCGTGTAACAGTCTTTCTGGCATGTTCGGATATATATATTCTTCGGATATTTTATTTGCAATTAGAACAAAGCCGATACCTTTGCGATTTCGAAATAAATTATTTTCCTTAGCTACTTCGGTATCATTTCATCATTATCATCATCAGCCTATTAATGTCCCCACTGCTGGGGCACAGGCATTCCCTATTGTTGGAATAGGGAGATTGGGCCATGACCCACCACGCGGGCCCAGTGTGGATTGGCGGGTGCTAACGACTGCAGATGCAGCCGGGACCAACGGCTTAACGTGCCTTCCGAGGCACGGAGGAGCTCAACATAGTAGTGCCCTTACAGGGTTCATGTTTGGATCTGACTCTGAATCTTAAGAACTTGTAATTACCGCATGAAACAATAAATATATTGAATTGAATTCAATAGTAATTTTTTTTGGTCACCCATCCAACGACCGACCGCTTGAACTTAAAGCAAAAGTTGCTTAACTTCAACGATCGCAGCCGAACGCGCTAACCACCTGCGCCATCAAGCTCCTCATCATTTGGTAAAATATTATTACATAAATGTTTAAGTTAAGTAACTTTGTAATTTTTTCTAACATATTTTAGTTAATCAACTTTTTATCTAATGGAAATATTCAATAACATAAGAAAAAGACCACAATCCATCACGCATGCCTATTTGCAGGCAATCCGCCCGGAATTGCTTTGGTCAGTAAATAATAATATGAAGAAAAGCATCAAATTTTAATAGGGATAAAAATTATTACTTATATTTAGTAATCATTAACATTGGAAAAAAATCGTCAAAAGTAGTTTTTGGACTGTAATTTAGAACTACCTATTTGTATTAAATAATGATATGATGTTGAAAAATCAAAATTTGTAATTTGTAAGTTGCGCAATAGGAAAATTCAAAAATACCCTGAAAACTTGCCGCGCCATTGATACGGCTAACAAAGCGCGCCGCAAAAAAAGTCATCACCCCTAAACTTTTACTCGGTGACTTTCAGCGGTTCCTTCCGGCAACCTTGCGACAGCAGCGTGCGCGCGCGCCTTGCAGTCCGCGCTCGGCCGCCGCGACGTATACACGCGCGCTCTGCTCTCGTTTACTGGTAAACACGTGACGATCGCGAGTTAACAACCATAAGGATTTCACCACGGTGCATGTGTACTTGTGACGGCGTCTCAGTGCTTTGAAGTGGAGGCTCGGGCCACCGGCGCCGCAGGGCCCGTGATAGGCCCGAGCGGTGGTATGGAGTCCCCCCAAATGTACGATGCGGCAGCCGCTGCGCCGCCGCCGCCGCAACCCGATCTGAAGAAGTCGCAGGAGGAGAAACGTGCACCCTTCCCTCCTCCAGACTTAGACGAGCTCAATGGACAGGAGATTAGCCTCGACTTGCAACACCTCATCGAGGACCAGTTCCGTGGGGAGGAGACAATGGCTCTCTTCTCGGAGATACTCCCAGGAGGTCGGTCTCCGCAACCGAGACAGAGCTTTGCTCGGACGACTCTGGCATATATGCCTCAGCCTGTGCATTCGGGAGCGTCGTACGCACCCGTCCAATCAAATCAAGGACACGAGCAGCAGCCACCAATCAAGGAGGAACCTCCGGAACCACATGACTTCAGACGATCAGTATCATGTGCTCAATACACAGGCCAGTACAATCCTCAACCGCCTGTCGGGGTGAGTGGACCCTACGGGGGAGGGTTCACACCTTTACCACCATTAGGGGCACCGCTTCTACCCCCGTTACTAAAGCACAAGCCAGCACCAGCGAGGCGATCTTCTGGAAAAGTACTAGATAAAGGCACAGATGAGTATAGAAGACGACGCGAACGCAATAATATCGCAGTGCGGAAGTCTCGCGAAAAGGCTAAAGTGCGCTCAAGGGAGGTGGAGGAAAAAGTAAAGACGCTCCTGAGAGAAAAAGACGCACTGTTGAAGAGGCTGGAGGCGGTGACTGGGGAGTTGAGCCTTCATAAGCAAATGTATGTGCATCTGATAAATTTGAATCACCCGGAGATTACGGAACTGTGTCGTTCGATGCTGCAGCTCGGTGCACCCCATGCACCGGACCACACCCTTTGACCATTGGTGAGTGCGGAAACCCTGAATGTAAAAATCTTGTGCTCAGAAATCGTAAACTGAGTGGTGTTAAAGATAACAATTTTATAGGTTCTTACGCAAGCATCGAGACGTGCATAGGAAAAATACGATTTTTAGATTTTGATTTCACAACTGTAACAGTGGATGATTCAGTGATAATTATCCTAATGAGCATCGTTGCGTGATCGAATAATTTCTAAATAACCATCCTTAATGGTGTATTTTTTGGAAAGTGTCTTCCTTAAGAATGTTAATTACCCTGGATATAAAATTATTAATCGTAAAGTTTCTATTGTCGATGCAGCTTTCTATTTTTTTTGAGCACGTTTTCTTTCGCGCCACGTGTAGGATGTTTGTGATTAACTTTTTATAATGTACCTATAGTATTGTTTAGTTATAAATTAGTGATGTTGGAAATAAAGTCGCCAGCTGCAGCTCACGTGACTTTTCATAATGTTTTGATGTGTGATTCATTCACAAGATTCTTAGCTTAAGTAATCCCGTAATACCTCACTGACACAGTAAAATATCAACTTGCTAGTAATTAAAATTAACTGTATAAACTAAATCCATAATAATAAGTTTAATATGACAAAACGCTGCTTTTAGCAGTTAAAACTATTTTAGATATAAATTATTATATTTTACGTAACTTGACTGACAACCATGTTGTTTAAAAATATTCTGATGTCCTATTCCGATAAATTACCACAGAATTAGGTACATAATATGTAGTACAATACATTTACTCAAATTGCATTATACCTACATAGAAATAATATGTAATACCACTTAAATTTTCATAAAAGTAGCTTCAACATCTCAAAACAATTCAGTTAACATTTTAAGTTCATTTAAAGTGATGGTATCTATCTTATTTAATATTCCTATTGCTTTCATAGTGTTATTCAACAGTCCCTATCTATTCAATCGTAAACTATGAAAGTGAGATCGTTTCGATTTGGCTTCATGTCGCGTACGCAGCTCCTTCATTATGAACTTTATTGCGATCGTAATAAAGAATTATCCGTTATAGCAACAAACGTGATTCGTGCTTTTGGTCACGTTGACAATAATTGTCAGCATTCGTTGGGAAAAGTTGAAAAAAAAACCATACAAATATCACTATAAACATATAACTACAGAAATTGTTTTGCGTGAGTATGCATACTCTCGTAATAATAAATGAAAAATGATTTTTTCTAAGAATGATAACAGGTATTTGGCATTACGTAATTTTTTTTTATATAAAATTATAACTTGCTCCAAATTTCTTTTTATTTATATTTGAATGACGCCATTTTGAAAACGCTGGTTAAATGGGTGGTTGTATAAAAGAAGGTTCATCTCGGAAACTTTCGATGTTGTAGCCAAATGGAGCCAACATGACTAAAAAGATGCTCATTGCCTTTTGAAGTGAACAATGTACATCTTAGCATAGATATATCAACAAGTACGTCGTGTGTACAAAGTTATATTTTTAAATATTTTTTTGTTTAAGTACGGTTCATTTAACTTTTTTAAAGTAACTTTATAAGTGGAGTGAGTGGCTCAATCTCAATTCATGGTATTACTATTCTTTCTAATTTAATTCATTTCTTTTTTTTTATTTATAAAAAAACTTCTCATATTATATAATTATAAGGTCAATCGTAATAAAATAAAATAAAAACAATAAAAAAAACTTTTCGGTTCAAGAATTACAAAACTTTTAATGGAATTTTTGCTACAAAGTTTTAGTTCTAGTTGGTATTTTACGATTCTGTCATAATATTACTTCCTAAAGAAAGTTACTCTGTCATTTTTTGTTAACAAGAGCTGATCCACTACCAGGCGCCCATAAATCAGCAGTAGCACTCATAACTCTTTAAATCGAGAATTCAGTATTCAAATTCGTTTGTGCAAAACCGTCTGGTTGCAACTTTCGTTTTCATCGAACGCCACTGTCACCCGAAACGAGACTTTATCAGTGTCGTTTTAAGGGCGCTTTTCCATTGCGCAGCTTGAAATTTTCGCCTCTCGTGCCCTACTTAATGGCTTCCGTCGGCTTGACTTGTTGATTTTAACTATTTTATGCTTGTTCACTAAACTTCACTAAAGGAACAATGGCTTGAGCTAAAAATATTTAGGATAAATAAGTATCCTATTAGTTCCTGAGACTGCATTAGTAAAAGTCTGTTATTTCTAATTCAGGCTTTTTTTTAGTTTTTGAAGATGTGTTTTTATAATATGTTTTACCAAAACTGTATACATTAATTTTTCTAATATAGTTTACTCAAAATCGGACCATGTATCCAACTACGGCGACTATCCGGATTTCACCCTATATCTACAAATGTATTTCATACTAATAAGTCTGACCGGGAACTGAACCTAAAACCTCCCATCTTAGCTACTTTTCTACAAACGCTCTTAAAAATTATTACCCTCCTTTTGTTTATTTGTTGTTGGTCACCTCTCCGTCCAAAGACCTAGACGAAAGTTTGCTAAACCTTTTAAATCTTCAAGTATCTACATTCATTTACTATGAATAAACGATGGTAGGACAGTAATCCCTATGATGGTTATTGTCCCTACGAAAGGTTGTTGATCTGACAGTGTATACGATAACGTTTTTTCTATGCATCATGATTCAATGATAAGATTTCTGATTTGCACAATTATATGAAACTATTACAATGTTAATCTGCCTTTGATTCAAAGACAGATGAGTCATCAAAATTATTTGTAACAAACCTACTGTTATGTTTAATTCACGATGAACGACGGTTTTGGTAATGTTACAAAAATAAAAAACAAGTTTTTTTTTTCATAATAACTTTTTCTTTTTTTTTCTGACTTAAGAGTTTAATTTCATCTCGTCCACTATCTATGATGAGAATGTTGCCAACCCTAACACATTTAAGATATGAGCGGGGATTTCTGGAATACATTTCTATTTAAAGTGAATCTATAACTCTTATCATATCATCACCAAAATACTTTGTGAAAAATCTCAATATCACATCAAAGGCGTATCATCGTACAGAGTTTAACATTCGACATACAGCTGTTTATTGTTAAGACAGATCAAAAATAGAAAAAAATGGTTTATTATATGCAGATGCTCAATCGTTCGTAAATTTATCGTATTAGGGTTTCGTTCCTCAAAAGCAAAAAAACGGAACAGGATACACTTACAGGATCACTTTGTTGTCCATCCGTCTGTCTGTCACCCTTTACCTCGGAAAAGCGTGCAGGTATCGACTCGAAAGGACATGGTTAAGAAACTGTCTTTAACATGAATAATTATTTCGCACTAGCTCGTAACATTAAAATATTTGTTTATTAATTTTTACGTGTTTATTATTGTCATACAACTTTCGTGAAATAATCAAATAATTAAAAGTATAAAAATTGCCTACGTGTCTGTTCCTAAAGGAAAAAGATCCGTTATATTAAAATAAATGAACAATAAATCTTTAATTTACACAAAAATAATTTGTGTAAGTATATCGAAATAAACTATATTAATTCCAAACTCCTAAAAACTATAAAAAAATAACGGCCAAGTAGGCTTACAATAAAAGATTTTATTATCTGATCAGACTTGAACCACCGCTGTTGAGAATTAATCCTTTGATTTTTGAAAATGAACAAAATAAAACTTCATAGAATTCCTGTCAGGCCGACGATACTTACAAATTCATTGCATTTATTTTTGCTCCAGAAATACTAAAAGAAAAATTCTAAAAAAGTGCCAAATTGACGGCACTGTAAATCAGTGATTATATCTTTGATGAAATGTAGCAAGTAATGACGTATTGGGAGTTTTCGTAATTTTCAGGATTGTAACTATCAAAAGTTTCTGAGCCATTTTTCATAGAGGGTTTGGCTAATAAGGAGAATGGCTAATTTTTTTTACAAATAAGTTATAATTTGAAATATTACTTAGTAACTATATTTATACATTTCTAGGGCAGTCGCTCATACAAAAATTTTCCATGTTCTTTAAACCATTTAAATTATGCACTGAATTGAAATAAATCAGCAAGAGTCAATGAAAAATAGTACACAAACAAAAACATAATTCACCTAAAATTTGTATAAAAACAAAAGTCCTCACTCACTAAATAAACTGAATTGTGCACTACAATATGATTGAATGTATCTATTTAACAGATTATGTAATTTATAAAAAAAATACAAAATTTTACTATTTACTATTTTACTAAAAATCTTCTCAAAGCCAATATTCTACACTAATAAATAATAATTCTGATCCACCATTTGATATAATCAAAGTTAATACGCGAACATTCTCACATTAAACCCTACTAATTTAAATCTATTTGCATATCCAAGCAAGGACAGTACGCCTACAGTACTGTGGCGATGAATCAACAGGTATGTAATGTACCGACTTTCACTTTTTTTAGTTAATATGCCTTTTGTGTTTTTGGACCGCGTCATGTAGGATGGAGATAGCATTTAAAATACATTAAAAAAATGTTGCGTAGGAATTTTTTTTGGATGCGACAGGTATATACGTCTCTGCTAATTGGAAACTTTACGTTGATTCGTCTTTATATCGATAAAGTTGGGAAAAGTTTTAATGATACACGTGAGATTATTTAATGATGAGCTATTCCAAGAACATATTTTAGAATACGCGAAAAAAATTGTGTCGCTCTGTGAATAAACTCTTACTATAATTAATTCAGTAAAAAATGTGCTAATATTATCATTTATCATAGGCAAATTATATTTTTCGATCGAAATATACTGTACATAATATCAGTAAGAGTGTTCTTATCACGTCTATACTAAAATCGTTTTTAGTATTATGCCACTCTATAAGGGACAGCGTTAATACAATTAAGTAAGTAGATATTTCTTAGATTATGTTTATCCGCACTAGGCCCGCGTGGTGGGTCATGGCCCAATCTCCCTATTCCATCCATAGGGAAGGCCTGTGCCCCAGCAGTGGGGATATTAATAGGCTGATG